AAAATATTTGAAAATATGGGGAATCTGATTCGTGTGTATTTATGGGTGTGTCCCAGGGCCCCTTCACTGGGAGGAACCCATCGAGGCTTTAAGAGAGCGGGCGGGCTCTAATATGGCCACTGGGCAGAAACCATTCGCCGCCTTCGTCGGCGCGCTCAGGCGCGACGACGGACTCACCTAAGGAATCGACCAGTCTCCCTACATCCCGATCATGCCTTGCAGGTCGGGCATGGTTGGCGAAGTGCCTCCGGTTGACATCGCGATATCAACCTCTCCACTTGCCAACGTTGCCGTCCTCGATATGGCTCTCGACCACGCCTGTGAAATCGTCCTTGCATGGTGCTGCCCAATCGAACGTCTTCCGGCCCATGCAAGCGACGCCACTGTAGGATCGTGAGGGAGTACTGGTACTGGTAGTGTTGGCGGGCTCAGACTGCACAGGGGCGGCAGGGGCGCTCGCGTGGTCCACCGTGGTTGGCCCTGCCCCGCCTAGTCACCATGACTGGGGGCGGCCGCCGCTCGTCTTGCCCTTGGCGTTGGGCGGTGGCGCGTCGCATGGCTTGGCGGGGCGGCTGGCCTGCTCTGCAGCGTGCTCGGCGGCGAAGCGCGCAGCTGAGAGCTCGGCAGCCTCGGCGGCGAGCGCTGCCTCGTTCTCCCCGGGGCTCGGCGGCCTCATGCCCCTTGGCGCTGCCAGCTGCGCCGGCGGCTTCGCCCGAACTGTGGGGCGGCGTGCCCGCCGTGGCAGACTCAGCGTCGGCTGGGGCTCTGGCCGTGCCGTTCTCGCCCTTGCGCTTCTTGAGGTACCTGGCCTCCTGCGTCTGGCGAACCTTCTGAGCCCGCTCGATCAGCGAGAAGGCCTGCGGCCCCTCGGTGTCGAACTGCTGTTGCAACTCTTCGAGACCCTTCTTGACGGCGTCGAGCTCCGTATGTTCTGCCTCGGTGAACTCGAGCTCATCGATCTTTCGGAACAGCTCGGGGCCCCAGGAGATAGTGAAGGGCTTCTGGGCGCCATCGGTGGCCTGGGCGGGCGCGGGGGTCGGTTCGCCGCCGCCGACCCCCTCGCCTTGGCCAGCGCCTCTGCGCGCGCCTGTTGGCCTGCTCGGTGCGAGCGCCCTGGAGGGCGGCCTCCTTCTCCTTGCTCTCGGCGGCATCCAGCGCCTTGCGGAGCCTGGTGACGTTATTCACGACCTGGCTGTGGTGGTTGACTGCCGCTCGCCAGGCGCTGTCGGCCTTTTGCATGATCTCGAATCGCTGACCTACCTGCACGGCGGTCTCCTCATCGACTGACAGGCGCTGGACCTGCGCGCTGAGGATGGCCTTCAGGGCGGGGTCCGCGGCGACTGCCAGTGCCTGCTTCAGGTGAGCGGCGAGGGAGGTGCGACTGTCCTGGTATCGCGCGCCTGGGGCGGCCTGGGACGTGGTCGCCTCCTGTACCTCGAAGACCCCCTCCTCGCCGAAGCGGACGACACTCGGGCTTTTCGAGCGGGTGCCATGCAGTTTCGTCGGCCTGTTGCAGCGGGGGCATCTGGGCCTGAGCGGGTCCAGCAAGTCGTTGTACTCGCAGGTGCTGCATCCGCGGCAGCGGCTCCACAGACGGGTGGCGCCTGCCTGGCGCCGTGGCGCGCCCGCGGCAGCAGGGGAGCGGTGCGCCTGGCGTACCACGAGCCCCAGCGCTGGCCGTCCGTAAAACCTGCGCCTCGGCAGGTGCACGGAAGTTCCTCAAGCACCTCGGGAAGGTTCTGGGGCAGCCCTGGAGAATGTGGCTTGAGAGCAGATGGAGGAGGAGGAGGAGGAGGAGGAGGAGGAGGAGGAGGACGACGAGGACGAGGGGGAGGGAGGGAGGAGGAGGAGGAGGAGGAGGAGGGGAGGAGGAGGAGGAGGAGAGGAGGAGGAGGGAGGAGGAGGAGGAGGAGGAGGAGGAGGAGAGGAGGAGGAGGAGAGGAGGAGGAGGAGGAGGAGGAGAGGAGGAGGAGGAGGAGGAGGAGGAGGAGGACGAGGAGGGAGGAGGAGGAGGAGGAGGAGGGAGGAGGAGGAGGGGGAGGAGGAGGAGGAGGAGGAGGAGGAGAGGAGGAGGAGGAGGAGGAGGAGGAGAACGAGGAGGGGGAGGAGGAGGAGGAGGAGGAACGCTCGAGCGCGGCCCCGCTGGCGGCGCCTCTGGCGCCGATCCTGGCATGCTCCGCGCGCCAGGGAGGGGGTTGCAGCGCCGATCCGAGACATCCGCGCGAACCTTCGACAGCTGGTGTTTCTGCAGTCCTTTGTTCCTTAGGGATGTTCCGCTGTGCCCCTCTAGTCGGGCAGCTTGGCGCGGGTGGCCCCAGACCCGCCCATCCAGGTGCACGGTGGTCGGTGTGAGGCTATGTTGCGTTGCGGGCGGCGTTCTCGGGCCCCGGGCAGCCACTGCACTCTACTCGTTCATGCCCAAGGGCGCGACCGCCGCCCGTCGGGCCAGGCCAGCCACCAGCCAGCCGCCTCTCCCCCCTCGCCGATCCTTCCCTTTCCTCGCCCCCCCTTTCGAAGAACAACCAACCACGCGGATTTCTTGGATCGGCGTTGGGCCCCCCTGGCGGCGCCCCCGGCGCCGCCCCTGGGGCGCTCCGCGCGTCAGTGAGGGCCGTTCGGCGCGGATCCAAGAAATCCACTCGGAGCGCCAAAAGTATGTTTGTGTGGTTATTCCCCATATCCTAAGATGGGGTTCTTGTTATTACTTGGACGCCTCCTACTCCTCCTCCTTCCTCCTCCTCTTTCCTCCTCCCCTCCTGTTGGATTTACTCATGCTCAGACTTGCTCATACTCAGACTTACTCATACACAGACTTACCCATACTCAGACTTACTCATACTCAGACCTACTCATACTCAGACTTACTCACACTCAGACATACTCATACACAGACTTACTCATACACAGACTTACTCACACCCAGACGTACTCATACACAGACTCACTCATACCCAGACTTACTCATACACAGTATTAGTCATACTCAGACTTCGCTTGGAGAGCAGATTGTGAGGATGTCTCAGGCGGGGCGCTGGTTTCAGCACCCCTAAGGGGAGCCGCCAGGGGTGTTTGCACGGGCTCGTTCGCGGCCATTTTGTGGGGATGTCTCAGGCGGTTTGCTTGTTTCTGGGCTCAACATCCTTTGCTTTCGGAGCAGATTTGGAGGATGTCTCGAGCGAGGCGCTCATTTCCCCCCCCAGGTGGGCCAGATTTTGAGGATGTCTCGATCGGTTTGCTTGTTTTGGTGGCCAGGCTCGTGGCCCTAAGGGGAGCCGCCAGGGGTGGTTGCACGGGCTCGTTCGCGGCCATTTTGTGGGGATGTCTCAGGCGGTTTGCTTGTTTCTGGGCCAACATCCTTCGCTTTCGGAGCAGATTTGGAGGATGTCTCGAGCGAGGCGCTCATTTTCACCCCCCAGGTGGGCCAGATTTTGAGGATGTCTCGATCGGTTTGCTTGTTTTGGTGGCCAGGCTCGTGGCCCTAAGGGGAGCCGCCAGGGGTGGTTGCACGGGCTCGTTCGCGGCCATTTTGTGGGGATGTCTCAGGCGGTTTGCTTGTTTCTGGGCCCAACATCCTTCGCTTTCGGAGCAGATTTGGAGGATGTCTCGAGCGAGGCGCTCATTTTCACCCCCCAGGTGGGCCAGATTTTGAGGATGTCTCGATCGGTTTGCTTGTTTTGGTGGCCAGGCTCGTGGCCCTAAGGGGAGCCGCCAGGGGTGGTTGCACGGGCTCGTTCGCGGCCATTTTGTGGGGATGTCTCAGGCGGTTTGCTTGTTTCTGGGCCCAACATCCTTCGCTTTCGGAGCAGATTTGGAGGATGTCTCGAGCGAGGCGCTCATTTTCACCCCCCAGGTGGGCCAGATTTTGAGGATGTCTCGATCGGTTTGCTTGTTTTGGTGGCCAGGCTCGTGGGCGCAGATTCTTCTCAGGATGCCACAGGAGGCTCCAACAGGCTCCAGGAGGCCCCAGGAGACCACATGAGGTCCCAGGAGGCATCAGGAGGCCACAGAAAAACTCAAGAGGCCACAGGATGTCCCAAGAGGCTCCAGGAGGCCCCAGGAAGCTCCAGAAGGCCTCAGGAAACCACAGGAGGCCCCAGGAGGCAACAGGAAGCGCCAGGAGGCCTCGGAAGGCAACAGGAGGCCCCGAGAGGCCCCAGGAGCAGGAGGCCTCAGAAGGCAACAGGAGTGGCTCCAATCCCATGTGTTTTACGTATGCTCCTATCGATTGGGCCTCACCTGGAGCACGATTCTTTGATGTTCTACGTATGTTTCTATAGATGGTCCTTCTCCTGTGTACACAATCCTAAATGTTTTACTCATGTTCCTATGTATTGGGCCTCTCCTGGGGCACGAGTCCTTGGTGTTTTACGCGTGTTCCTATAGATTGCCCTTCTCCTGTGGCTCTAATCCGCAATGTTTTATGTACGTCTGTTGCTATAGATTGCGCCTCTCCTGGGGCACGAAACCTTCCTAGGAGGTCCCAGGAGGTCCCAAGAGGCTCCTGGAGACCCCAGGAAGCCCCAGTAGGTTTCAGGAGGCCCCAGGAGGCCCCAGGCTCATGCACAGAGACGCGCTTGTACTACTGAGGCTCATTCACACTCCAATTCATTCGCAGTTAGATTGATGTCCAGACCGTCACAACTGAAGCCCGTTAATATTCGAAAGCTCTTGCGCCTAGACATTCACGGCGGACAGGTCCATGCGAGTAGATGCACATATGGGGAGCTCCACGCAGTGAATAATTCTTCTTCTGCCCTTTGCCCTTCCCATCTCCCGCCCTCCTCCTAAAGCGTGGGTAGAATGCCCAACAGCGGCTCCTATTCCCTTTGAACAGGACTCGCTGTCGGTGTCGCCGCGGCCTGCTTACATTTGAGACACAAGGCTTCCTGCCCAACAGCGGCCGCTGTTGGTTTGGGACAACATTTGTTGTTGGGCACTGCGCACATGTGTTTTCCGTGCCCAGTTCGGGCGTCCGAGCTCCTCGCCCGGCGGTGGGACAGGCCCGGACTCCACGACCATACAGGCGACCGCGGCGAAGCTGGGCACGAGGGCGCCCTACGTGTATCAGAACCTGCTGGCAGGGGGGCGTGGGGCAGGGCGGGGCAGGCGAGGCGGGCGAGCTCGAGGCCGAGAGGGGGGGATTGGGAAAAGGGGGGGTTCTTGGCATCGCTCGGGCGTGTGCATTCTTTCCTCGGCGAGGGCCATCGAGGACCATCCTGGACCATCGAGCCAACAAAAAACACGCACGAAACCAACAAATGCACGGGAAACGGACGTCCGAGCGACGGCAAGCTGCATGCAGCTGGTGTCGGCCCCACCGAGGGGCCCATTCCTCGATACGTGGCCGCCTCCGGCGCCGGGAGGCGCCGGGAAAATCAGCCACGCGAGCTGATTCTGAAACCCGCCTTTTGCTGTCCCCCCCTTTCGCCTGGCCCGACTGGTGCACGTTCCACGTCCTGTGTCGTGGATCTTCTGCACCACGCGTTGTGGCACCTCGTGGATGACCGTCTGGGCCATTTGTATTTGCGCTTCGCTTCGGGCCCCTTTGTGACCTCCTGGTGCGGTGCCACCTCGAGGAGGCGCAGGCGGTGCACAGCCCAGGACTTCTCTGGAGCCTCCCGCCACTCCTTGCTGGCCTTGTACTCCGCCTGGACCTCCTTGCGCACCACGCTCGTCGTCGTCGTCGTCGTCGTCGTCGTCGTCGTCGTCGTCGTCGTCGTCGTCGTCGTCGTCGTCAGCGTCGTCGTCCTCTTACATTCGAGGGCGCGGGCGGGTCCTCCCCCCTCCAATCCTAACGCGAGCCGAAGGTCTCGAGTCGCCGGGCGCCGACCGTCACCCGGCGGCGGCGCCTGCTGCGCCGGGCTGCCCTGCGCCAGCGGGCTCTCAAACTCCGCGAGGCCTCAGAGGGGAAGTCAGGCGGGAAGAAGCACAGACACGCTTCATCGTCGAGCCCCAGGAACATGTGGGAAAATACGGGAAAGTGGGGGGGAAAACGATTTTTCCCCACCAGACCCAGACAGGTTCGGTTCGGTTAATCGTCGAGCCCCAGGAGCATGTGGGAAAGCACGGAAAAGTGGGGGGGGGGAGACGAGTTTTCCCCACCAGACCCAGACAGGCTGGGGTCGTTAGATTTTGAGAACAGACCTCCCGGCCACTCCCACCCTGCATAATTACCGCGGCCGCCAGACCCCAAGTTGTCCCGAGTGTCCCGGCTATCCCGCCTCGCGCCCTCGATAAACACGACAGAACACACTCTGCATACCCCGGCCGCCAGACCCCAAGTTGTCCCGAGTGTCCCAGTTATCCCGCCTCGCACAGTCGACAAACACGCCAGAACACACCGTGCATACCCCGGCCGCCGGACCCCAAGGTGTCCCGAGTGTCCCGCTGATCCCGCCTCGCGCCCTCGACAAACACGCCAGCACACACCGTGCATACCCCGGCCGCCAGACCCCAAGTTGTCCTGAGTGTTCCAGTTATCCCGCCTCGCGCCCTCGACAAACACGACAGAACATACCCTGCATACCGCGGCCGCCAGACCCCAAGTTGTCCCGAGTGTCCCGGCTATCCCGCCTCGCGCCCTCGACAAACACGACAGAACACACCTTGCATACTGCGGCCGCCAGACCCCAAGTTGTGTTGTCCCGATAATCCCGGTTATCCCGCCTCGCACCCTCGACAAACACGACAGAACACAATATGACAGAAACAGCGTGTTCTACCGCTGGTGGCGGAAAACCGGGGGGGTCACTACCGGTTCGAACCCCTCCCCCCCCCCTCTGGAAAACCGGGGGGGGTCACTACCGGTTCGAACCGCTCCCCCCCCCTCCCTCGAACTCGAAAACCGGGGGGGGTCACTACCGGTTCGAACCCCCCCACCCCACCCCCACCCCCCTCGAAAACCGAGGGGTGGTGCGGACAGTGGTGGGGACGGTGGTGGTGGGGACAGTGATGAGGGGACAACGGGACAGTGGTGGGGACAGTGGGACAGTGGTGGGGACGGTAGTGGTGGGGACAATGGGGAGGACAATGGTGGGAACAGTGGGGACAGTGGGACAGTGGTTGGGACGGTGGTGGTGGGGACAGTGGTGTGGGGACAGTGGGAATGTGGTGGAAACAATGGGACAGTGGAGGGTACAGTGGTTGTGGGGACAGTGGTGAAGGCGGTGGCGAGGACGGCGGTGGGAAAATGGGACAGAGGTACAGTGGGGACAGTGGTGGGGACAGTGGGGACAGTAGTGGGAACAGTGGGACAGCTCAGTGGGACAGCGGAGGAGTCGGTGGGACAGTGGGGACAGTGGGGATAGTCGTGGAGAAAGTTGGGAGAGTGGAACTGTGGTGGGAACAGTGGCGGGGACAGTGGGGGACAGTGCGACAGTGGTGGTGGCACTGGTGGGGACAGTAGGGGCGGTGGTGGAACCAGTGGGGACAGTGGTGGTGAGGACAGTGGCGCTGGGAACAACAGTGGCGGATGTGGTGAGGACGGTGGTAGGGACCGGGAGTCGTTTGCTGGAGGCTAGAGGGGAGGAGGGGAGGTGGGGAAACCGGTCACCCCCCCCCTCCGGTTTTCGAGGGTTCGAGTCCGAGGGGGAGGGGGGGGGGGGGTAGGGGAGGAGGGGGGTTTTGCCGGGGGAGGGGGGGGGGAGGGGGGGTTCCAGCAGGAGGGGGGATTTTCGGGAGAGGGGGGGGAGGACCCCCAGGCTCCGGAGGAATAGGGCGGCAATTTTCCACAGTAAAGCGGCGGTGGGTCACGCTCTCTCATATGACACAACATAGCATGACAGAACAGAGCAGGAGCATGACAGAACGTGGTAGAACATAACATATTATCAACATCGCGACAAGCTAGAGGACACCGTCATATCACATAACATACCAGAGCAGAACATGACACAGGAGAAAACGTCAGAACACAACATAATATGACATTCTCGAGCATAACATATGACAAACTTACATAACACAGCATATCATGACACGGCGTCACCAAACGTTTCAGACGACAGCAGAGCATAGCGGCGAACACGCCAGAACACCACATGTCACATCATAAGGTAACATAACATCACACGATCGTGCCATAACATGACAGAGTATAACATAGCAATAGCACTACAATCAAACATCATTCTATATCATCGCATACCACCTCATATCAGATCATGGCATAACATGATGTTACACACCATTATATAACATAACATAACCGAGGAACACATAAGACACCTTGGCATACCATCCCATATCGTTGTATCTCATCGCAGCACATATCAGAGCACGACAGCATCGCATACCGCCACATACTAGCACAGCAGGTCATACTATATTATAGCATCAGCTTGCGACCTGGCCTGGCCGCCGCGCTGGCCGACGCCGCCGGGAACTGCGCACATCCTTCCAATAGGCGCGCGCACCGTCGGGACCAAACGCCGAAGGTTCCGAGTGGGGATCGCTCGAAGCAACAACAATGTTTTGAGCTCCACGCCCACCCCTCCCGAGGGCCTGCCTCCACGGCCGCCGAGGCAGTCCCTCGTGCTGCGGCGGGAAGGAGATGCGGCCGAGCGTGCCCTAAACGGGGCACAGGGCAGTGCCAGCTTGTCTGGCATGAATCGGGCCGGACGAAAGGGGGGGATTGGGAAAGGGGGGGGTACGAAATCTGCTGCATGCAGCTGGTTTCGGCCCCGCCGCCGGGCCCATTCCTTGATACATGGGCGCCTTCCGGCGCCAGGGGGCGCCGGGAAAATCAGCTACGCGAGCTGATTCTCAAACCCCTCCTTTGCTATCCCCCCCTTTCGCCCGGCCCGAATGAAACAGGGCCCAGGCGGTGGCCGACGAGACGGGCGGACACCCCAGGGACCGAGAGGGCCAGCGGGAGCACCAAGCCCCACAGACCTTGCGCGAGCAGCCACAGAGGCGCGCGTTGACGCTTGGCAGCTCGCGGCCAAGACTCCGACGCGTTGGGCGGAGGAGGCCAGTCCCCGACAGCAGTTCGGGCAAGACGCAAAACAAACATGCCGACGCGCCCCCTGAACGCTCCAGGGGGCGGCCTGAGCCGAGCAAGCCGACAGGGCAACTGCCCTGCCGAGGAAGACTGGCGAAACCGACCTTGCGGAATTGCGCGCCTTCCACCCGAGGCCGGGTGCCTGGCACACGTGCCGCACATGCTCGGCGCGCACACGCGCACGCACACACACACACACATACATACACACACATACACACACATACACACACACACACACACACACACACACACACACGCGCGACATCAGTCGAATGGCGACGCCAGGACGACGGGCCAAAGACGCACCTGGTGTAAAGAACGCCAGGACGGCGCTAGGCCACGCCCCTGGTGTGGGCCAAAACCAGCAACAGAGGGTGCACGGGTCGCCTTGAGCCGGCTTCGAACGTGACCTGAGGCCACGTCTTCCCCGGCATTCCGCCCGCTCTCGCGCCTCTCCGCTTCCATTATTCAAGGGAGGAAACACCACCCGGACCCGACAACTGGCGTTTCCTACACGGCCCTGGGCGTCTATCACACAGCCCTGCCCTGTTCGATTCCTACAGTGGGGGCGTTCGGTAAACGGCTTCGCGTGTCGGGGTGGTATTTTTTATGGGGGGGAGTTTTTGCCCTCTGCCTCCGCTTCCGCTATCTTCCCTGTCGTGGTCGTGCGCGTCGGCGGGCGGGCCCTGCGCCGCGCCCGCGCTGGAGCGCCACTCCCGAGCGAAACGCACGCACGGACCTCGTTGGCAGGGCGACGAGGCGCGCGCCGCTCGCGCGAGAGCCCCCGAGCGAAACTGGCGACGCCACTCTGAGGCGTCATCTGCGCAGAGCACCACGGCGACAGCGACACGTTCGCCCGCCTGTGGCGCCGACGAATCGCAGGCCTAGAGGCAGGTTGACACGAACACCAATACCGGCGGTGTGCTTCCACCGAGGGAGGATAATCCCGATCTCGGCGATGGTGGTCATATGCTGGCTTCCAAGGTGGTCGAAATATTACTACCAACACCGAAACCTGGGATCACCTTCCCCCTGTGGAGGCAGCCCCCTGTGTTGGTGTCGGTGCCCATGTCCAGGCCTCCGCACGAAGCCGTGTGCGAACAGTCTGCGCCGCGCCTAAGTTTACCAGCACGGAACATATCCCTATCCCTATGCTGGGCATCTCCTCATCACGATGCCAATCTTAGGGATTCCCTTATTTTTGGAGTGCGCATCCCTAAGATCGTCGTCGCTTTTTGGCGTGTCAAGCTCAGGGATAGGGATGAAGTTCGAGGCTGGGAATAAGCGGAAGCTCGCCTCTTCTGAAGCACGAGCACGGAGCTTGAGCGAGGGCGACAGCTCGGCCCCTCGCGCGGGAAGCGGGACGTGCGTTTCGTCCCGTGTTTGTTGGGCGTGTTGCAGCACGGACGGCAATGACCAGGTTGTAAAGCAGCAGACCTAAACATTCAAAGCCCCCACTGCTTTGTACATGTAGGGTGCACGCACCCAGATACGTTTGCTATCGGCCGACCAGGTGGCTGAGTAGGATTGGCATTCGATCGGGTGGCTGTCGGCCCATCCCGCCACCGTGCCTGGGTTGTCGGTGGGAGGCTTAGTATGGATGTTCGTTGGGGTATCGTGGCAGGCTTCTTCGGGGCCTCTTTGGAGGCAGTTTGGAGGCCTCTTGGGGGCATCTTGGGACCTCTTGGGGCCTCTTGGGGGCCTCTTGGGGCCTCCTGGGAGCCTCTTGGGGCATCCTGGGGGCCACTTGGTGTTCCCTCTCCTGGGCCCCTTTTGGGGCCGTCTTGGAGCCCTTTAGGGCCGTCTTGGGTGCCTCATGGGCCGTCATGGGGCGTTCTTAGGCTGTCTTGTAGCTCTCTTGGAGGCCTCTTGAGCCGTTGTGGGGTGGTATTGGGGGCCTCTTGGGCCGCCTTGGAGCATCGAAAAGCCGAAACGGCGAGAACGCCTAAATATTGCAACAATCAAACGGACATGGATGGTGTTTGCTTCTTGGGAGGCCTCTTGGAGGCCTTTTTGGGCGTCGTCGAGGCCCCTTGGGCCATCTGGAGGCCATCTTGGGCATCTGGGAACGATCTTTCGGCGTCTCGGGGGCCCTCTTGGCCCGTCTTGGGGCCTTCTTGGGCTCGAGAAAGTCATGCGGGAAGCCGCCGGGGAGCCCAGAGGGCACGCGACAAGCCCCGCCAAATGAGAGGATGATGCAAAGGACTTGACGACGCGCCCACCCTGTGCCCATAGACACGGTGGCGGATGAGGAGCAATAAGGATAGGAACAGCGGAGGGGGATATGTCCTGGAGCTCTGCACTTTCTCCGTGCGCCGCTGGTGCGCCTGGCCGACGGGGACCCCGGATGTACCCGCGGTCTGTGCCGACGGCGCGGAGCTGTTCCACGACCTTGAAGTTGTGAAGTTCCCTTCAGGTTTCACTCCCCTGATCTATCCTGCCACTTCCGCTTGTCCAGTACTGGAAACGTTAGACTCGAGTTCGTCGGAACTTGGACTTGCCGTCGTTTTCACAGGCCTGTCCTGGATTTTCGCCTATCTGTCGGCACAGGGATTTTGCGTCAAGGTTCAAGCGGTTCATCTGACGGCCCTGTCAGGGCAGTTCGAGTCTTCCAACCTCGAGTCTTACTCCTCTCCGGTCCTAAGAGGTGCGCATTTCGCGCTTCTGTTGCTGTATTGCCGCTCGGTGTGCGGTGCGATCGTCCCGCCGCCGCAGACCCCACCAAATCAAAAACAATCCTGCCTCGCCGCACATGCGTACGCATAAGTCGGGCGTGTCCCTCTACAGGAGGGAAATTCAAACATAGTCAAAAATAGTATGGGGACCCTTGTGGCGTATTTTTGAGCATGTTTTGCATATGTTTGACTATTTCTTATTTCTCGCCCGAAATCTGCCTCTGGGGGGACAGGCCCGACCGAAGCGTGCGCATGGCTGACCTTGGCGCCCGTGCCCGTGCTGCGGGGCCGCGTCGCGCGTCTTGGCCCAGAGGCGCCCCGGGGGCTCGGCGGCGCGCAGCGCCCCCAGGTTTTGCTCAGAGGGGGCGAGGCCGGCAGGCTTCCAGCTCGATTCTCGCTCCCTGGTTTCACCAGCTCGAGGCATGCCCCCATCCTGAGGTCGGGCCTGTCCCTCTACCAGGGGAAGGCTCAAGCACAGTCAAAAAATATTCCGGGGCATCTGTTTTGACTATCGTTAAGCATGTTTGGAGTAGTGCTTTATTGTTTCTTATTGTTCGTCCAGAATCTGCCTGTAGGGGGGGCATGCCCGACCTAACCCTATCCCTGTGTTTGGCATCACCGCACCTCGATGCCCATCTTAAGGATTCCCTCAGTTTCTGGGAGCACATCCCCAAGATCGTCGTCGCCTTTTGATCGCCCGTCTTGGGGATAATTAGGGATGAGTTCGAGGCTGGTTGTGGTTGCCTGGCTTGGGCACCACGTGCGCACGGTCAAGGACTGCCGCTGGCTGTGGTGCAGGTCCTGCTGGGGCTGTCCCTGCGGCCGCGCCTGGGACATCGGTCGGCGCGGAGGTGCTGGGCAAAGAGCAGCACGCGCGGCGGTCGTGTTCGTTCCCTTCCTCGCACGTTGGGCTCCGAGCGCCACGCGCCCGCGGTGGGCCCACGGCAGCAGCTGCTCTCTGCATCGTCTCGTCGGGCACAGCACGGGGCCGGGCCAGTCTTCGTCGCGCACGGTCGGGCGACGCAGCCTGTGCAAACCCACTGCCCCCCGGGCCTTGGGTCGGGCCTGTACCTCTGCAGGGTGAATGTGCAAGAATAGTCAGAGAATAGTCTGGGGACGATTGTTTGGCTATGCTTGAGTATTGTTGAATATGTGTTGGAACACATGCTATGTTTCGTCCAACGGCCGCCTGCAGGAGGACAGGTCCGAGCTAACCCTGGCCTGTCACGTCCTTGGCCCGTGAGCTGTGTACACGCCCTCCTGGCCAAGCCAGGAGGGTGTGGCGTATACACCGCTGCTGGGTTCAGGATGAACCTGGCCAAGGAGCAGTGGATATGTATAGATTTCGTCGCCCTACATGGTGGTTCAGCCCAGTCCCCCGCCCTGCAGACGCGCGTTCCCAGCTGGGTCAGTGCCGGAACGCCACTTCGGAGAAGAGGGTCCGCGTTTCACATCGAATTCGGCTCAGAAGCCGTTGCCTCTCACTGCAACGTCCTCGAAGGCTTCAGTCTAATTGGGCACTCCTTTCTCTTAGGCATGTTGCTGGGCGAGCTCCCACCTGTAGCGTCAATTGAGCACTTCTGTTCCTCACCCCCTTCATCTCCCCTCCTTGTTACCCTCCCCCGCGTCGTGAGGCGCTGACAACGTTTGAGCCCAGTCTGAAGAATTAGGATATCCATAGGCGCTGGCCAGGAATTATAATTCAGTTGCTCAGGCCGAGTCCCCCCTTTTGCATTTCCAGCGCGCTTTTACAGAAAGCAGTTTCCGACAGGATCCCCCGACACCCCCATCCGAGAGCATCTTCAGAAATTAGTTTCTGAATGCGTAGATGTGTTTCCTTCGGCCTACTTGTTCCGCCCTCCTTCCTCCACCCCGTTTCCTCCACCCCGCTTCTTCCTGCTTCTGCCACAAGTTCCCGTCTCTTCCTCATGGTACTGGTCCCCCCGATGCCGTATCTGCTGCCCCTACTGGGCTCCCCGCTCTGCACGCTTCCCCAAACCCTCCTCCATTCGTCCCCCCCTTTCTTGATTTGCTGGGATGCCCACTTCAAGGACATGTAATTTGGTTTGTCCGCGCTTCTTCCACTCGGATTCTCCTCGCCGTCTCCCAACAGACTTTGCGCTGTGGAGCAATTCGTCCCTCCCCTCCTCCCCATCCCTCGTCCCCCTCCCTCCCTCATTACACTCAGCCTGTTCCCGTTCCCCATGCTCCGCACCTGGCCCTCCATCCGCTCCCCCGCGGAGACAGGCGGCGACGCCAGCTCCGGCGACGTCGCCGGGCCCCGTCGCTCGGCGCCGACTCTCGGAGGCAGGTCCGGCCTTCCCTGCTCGTGCTGCTGCGGATGCCGAGTTTCTTCCCTGTGGCTGCTGCGAGGTTCCTCCCAAGCTCACCACCCACCAAACCACCCCAACCCAACCCGAAGGCTCAGATTTGCCCTCCATTTCCAGTGGGGGGGGTTCGCGGAACATCGAAAAAACACGTATGGAACCCTTACCCCCCCCAACCCGAAATTCGGGTCTTCCGGTTGGGTTGGGGTGGTCTGGTAGGTAGTCACAAGCGTGCCCGTGGGAGTTTCTTGACGGCGCCAGGGAAGCCCAGCAAGGGCTTCGGGGAGATGCGCAAGGTGTTCTGACATATGGGGCGTTTGGGCAATTCCGGATCACCCCGCATCGGTAATCACTGACCTGTCGTCCTCGAGCCTTGAGGTACATCCTTGCAGAGCATTCCGAGCCAAGGAGCACCGCACGCAAAATTTGGAGAGAGAGAGAGAGAGAGAGCTAGCAATGCACCGACTTGTGAATAGTTGATTGACGATGCTTCGTGAAGCCTTTACGACTGCTGGACTAGATCGCAGATGCGACTTTGCTGCGGACGGCATAATGTTTCGGATGCGCCTAGCAGGACGTGTGTTTCGACATTCGTGAATGGTTTTCTGGTTCGTGAAAGCCACGTGACACCAAGGTGGCGCAGGATGTCACGCCATGCAAGTAATGTTGTAGGGTGGCAGCATCGTATAATGCGCTGCTCATCGTGGCGATGATGGTGATGATGCTGTTGCTGATGATGAAGATGGTGATGATGATGGTGATGCTGATGGTATTGATGATGCTGATGACGATGATGTTGATGACGGTGATGCTGACGATGTTTATAATGATATCCGCGTGTGTGCACATGGAGTTGTAGTATCGGAATTAACACCTTTGGACAATACTAACGCGGCTGAGTTATACCAGAAGTAACAGTCACATATACTACCCGTAGTCATCCAGATCTTATCTTCAACGTGGACAAGGTTGTACGGCCTGTGTGTGTCACTATACCCGGGTCCCAGGACATTCAGTGCATACAGATACGAGGAGTTCATTTGGAATGTCAAAGGCAGAAGCAATATTGTGATTGCAGGACATGACAGGATGGTCGACCACGGCTTGGAATTTTGAATCAAGTTTCTTGTCTCTTCGTGCAGCCCACGAGTCCATCCAGAAACGATTCTCAGCCGAGCTGTCGTAAAAAAGGGTAGCGGATGGGGCATCGACGAAACAACGAGGGATATACCAGTGAAACCGAGTTAGTGTTCAGCCGGGGATTTTCGGAGCATTGCAAGGGCGTAGCACAGCCTAGTTCTTCTATCCAGTTGCCTGCAGGAAGCTCCGCCTCCGCGCCTGTACACATGCGCAGCAGGAAGGAAGCTAAGTGTAGGAAAAGCACAATTCTGACGAGTAGACGAGTAGTCTGCATTCGGGCGGGTCGTGATCCCGACCTCGTCTTCGTCCGCACGGTAGGGTGGAAGAGGCGGAAAGGGAGAACATGAGGATGAGGAGGAGAAGGTTAGTTGGGTTTGTTTTGGCTATTGGTGGCTCCCGAGGAGCTTCCTGGAAGCTTCTTGGGGGCCTCTTGGGGGCTTCTTAGGGGCCTCTTGGGCCATCTTGGGGGATTCTTGGACCGTCTGACGCCTATGGGGGCCGCCTTGTGGGCCTCTGTAATTAGGCCGCAGAGGTGCCCTCTTGGAGCGGTTATAGCCAGTATTGGGGCCTTCTTTGGGGGCCCCTTGGGCGATCTTGGGGGCCTCTGGAGCTGTCTTGGCGCTCTCTTGGAGGTCTCTTGGAAGCGTCTTGGGCCGTCGGTCGGAAACAGGAACTGGTGAGAATCTCCGTTCTTTCAAATACGTACGGCAAATCATTGGTTTTGGCGTCCTCGGGCTCTCATGGAGGGCCTCTTGGAGACCTCTCGGCCGTTTTGGGGGCTCCTTGATCTGCCTTGAGGCTGTCTTGGGATCCTCCTAAGCCGCCTTGGTCCATCTGGGCGTCATCTTGGCTGCCCTGAAAGCCGTCCTCGAGAACATGAGGCTCCCAAGAAGGCCTGGGGACGGATCAAGAGGCTCCCACGACGGCCCAAGAGGTTTCGAGGTTCTGGCATGTTTGGGTTTCCGACCGCCCAGGCAGCCCGAGAGGCCTTTTTAGGCAGTCTTGTTGCTCTTCTGGAGCGCTTCAAGGCCGTATTCGAAGCTTTCTTTGGGGGCCCCTTTGGGGATTTTTGGGTACTCTTGGGCCGACTTGGGGCCCTCTTTGGGGCCTCTTGGGCTGTCTTGGAGCTATCTTGGAGTCTTCGGCCGTCTTGGGTGGTCGGAAACGCGAACAGGCAAGAACCTCAAAATCCGAATCATCTCCGGAAAAGCCATGGTTTTGGCGTCCTCGGGCTCTCCAGAAAGGCCTCTTGGAGTTCTCTCGGGCCGTCTTCGGGGGGGGGCTATTGGAGCCCTCTTGGGCCGTCTTGAGAGCCTCTTGGGCAGTTCTGAGGTTGTCTGGAGAAGCTCTTTAGCTATCTCGGGCCATCGTGAGCCGTATTTGTGTCGTGTCGGCTGTCTTGGAATCCCTCTTGGAGGCCATCTTGGCGGTCTGGAGGCTGAGAAAGACTGCAGAAAGCAATTTCAGAAAAGGGAGGTTGTTCAGGGTGGCATGGCATCCGGGGGGATCGCCCCTAGCTTCTCATTTTTAATACACAAGATAAAATGACGAGGATAGAACAAGCAAGCATTCTAACACGTTCATTCCGTACCGGCAAGGTAGCGGATTACATTATTTTCGAGTAGCGGTTGTTCAATTGCCACCAGCACTGGTTATTGGATTTGTTCTTTCTCGCATCTTGAATACGGGGATCTCTCAGACCTCCTGGTTTGAGCATGTTGGGCCGTCTCAAGGTCAGCATGTAAGTGGTCGACAAACTAGTCGAGCTTTGATTAGACCCATGCCCCTGTGGGATTCCAAGTCTTGTCTCTTGAATCCCCCATGCGGCCATCCAGGGCCTCGGAGAGCCTGTTGGATAGATCTGGGAGCCCTCTTGGAAGCTTATTCGGTTCGTCTGTCAAGGTGGAACGGCCTGATAGTTCGATCAGAAGCGATCTGGCGAGATAGCATGTTCATAGTAGCCATTGGTCTGTTCAGTGCTTTGGGCATTTCGGCCTCTGCACGCCCGTGATGAATCGCGTGTTCTGACCGGCCTCTTTATGTTCCGCCCCTCCAGTCCTCCCGCGCCTTCGTGCCTCGATTCGCTCTGGAGTGCCCCACCCTTTGCTGGCCGACGCCTGCGTGCTTGCATCCGCGGGTCCAAGAAGTGTCTGGCATCTCGGAGGAGCCTCTGGGGGGACCCGTGGCTACCTCGAGCCCGCTTGGGACCTTCTTTGGGGCGCCATCCGCCAGGCGATCGCAAACATGGATCAAGGGGGCGTGGATTAGCGACGGCTCCCGTGTCCATAGGGAATCGCGGAAGTCCGCCGCCGAAGGAGGCGGCACCAGCCGCGTTGTGGGGAGGGCACCTCCCTCGATCCATGGATTTGGCGACCGCGCGCCAAATCCATGGATCGCTAATCCATGTTTGCGCGCCCCCGAATCCGCGGCCGTGCTAGGCCATCCTTGGCGCGATTTTAGGGACCATGGTGTCCTCTGTAAGGCCATGCTTCGGAGGAGGAAAAGGTACCCATACCGCTACACTTGGGCTTCCTAGGAGGCCCTCGTCGCGAAAGCTGGATTCGCCTTGGAGTCGTGGTCAGAACGCGCCACGGGAGAGGTCCGGGAAAGCAGCGGTATTGGTCCCTTCTCGTTCCCCAGTATTGGAGCGCTGCTCAGCCCCCTCGCGCGAGGGGGAGAGCTGTCCAGGAGGGGCGCTCTCAAGCACACAGGCGCCGAACACATAATTGCGTGCACCTCCTGATTCAATTACGGGCGCTTGCTCGTCTTACGCCGCTCTCGAGTTTTAACCACATGGTGAGGCAGGCAGCCACGCACGCATGAATCCGCGCAGGTATGCGAGCAACCGTGCACGCATGCACATATACTGTTGTGCATCCACTTATCGAATCGCTTCGCTCATCCCGCCGGACCATAGGGAATTACGTATTCTTGCTTATGGGGCTCTCTCGGGATGTCTCTTGGGGGCCGCCGAGGGAGTCTTGAAAGCGTCGCGGGCCGTCTGGGCCGATGGGGACTCTTTCGTCGGCAACACCCCAACATACTTATACTATATGTGCGTCGCCCCCCCAGGGGCGACGCGCGCACCGAGAAATCTTATAGTATATGCGTCGTGGTGGGCGCTTTCTGGCCACACCGCTCGGGAAACGATATACTACAAGATGGGTATACTATATGTTCGGGTCGGACGCGCGCCTCCAAGGAGGACATATAGTACTAGTATGTCCATGTGCGTCCCATTTCGGGGGCCTCTTGGTCCAGGCCTCTTGGGGGCTCTTGCTTTGCGTGCTCGGGGGGCATTTGGGGGGCCTCCCGGGGCGGCTTGGGAGCCTTTTTGGAGGGCCTCCCGAGGGCCTGTTGGGGGCCTCTTGGGGCCTCATGGGAGCCTATTGGGGACTCCTGGGGGCTTCTTGGGGCCGAGGGCTCGAAATGATTGTTTCGTGTTCCCCCCTGGGACCTCTCTTGGGGCGTTCTTGGGGCCTTCGGGCCCTCTTGGGGGGGCCTCTTGAGCCCTCTTCGGGCGGTCTTTGAGGCCTCTTGGGCCGTCTGGGGGCGTCGGGAAGCCGAAAAGGTGAAAACGCAAAAATCTGTCCAAAACCTAAGGGAAAGCACTGAATGTTGCCTCTTGGGGCCCTCTTCAGAGTGCTCTTGGAGGCATCTAAGGCCGTCTGGGGGCCATCTTGAGCGTCTTGGAGCGATCTTGTGGCATCTCGGAGCTCTCTTGTATCATATCGAGGGGCTCTTGGCGGCGTCTTGGCCTTTCTTGGGGCTCTCTGGACGGCCTCGGCGTCCAGGAGGAAAACCATCTCTGACCCGAGTCGCCCGGGACCTGCCCGGGGTACTTTTCGTCTGGGGACCCCCAGGGGCCGCCCCGCGCGCGCGAAGTGTAATTATTAGAAAGAATGTACCGGAGATCTTAGCACGCTTCTGGCCCGTTGGGCCAGCGAATTTTCGTTCTAGTGAAAACGCACACACGCACACACGCGCACGACATTAATGAATGTACGTATGCATACATGCATTCGTGTACGTGCGAACTCCTCTCACATCCGATCACACATGCAGGCACACATGCATGCGAACATCATTATAAACAGATGCACGCATACATGCCGTTCACGCATGCATGATGTTGTCGCTTGAGGTTTGCTGGCTATCGTACCTTTGTCTGTGTCTACCTCCCACTCATTACTAAATACCCCATTACCAGTTTGAACGTTTGACCCCTCGTTTATGATTGCCTGTCTTATTACTATTGTTCCCTTCCTCCGTTACTCCCTCCTCCGTGCCCCATCGTCCCTCCACTCTCCACCCCCTTCCTCCTCCTCCTCGACCTTCCTCTCTCCCCTGCACCCCCTCCCCTTTCTCTCTGCTCCTGCAATCTCCTCACTCTCCCCTCAATGTCCTCCCTCCTATGCCATCCCTCCCGTTTCTCCTCCCTGGTCACCTCCACCGTCCTCCGACGACGACGTAGGTCGCAATACTCGACAACGCGAGCTCCAACAGCATGGGGGCCACGAGAAACGATTGGACGACGAGATCGGGAGAGTCAGGAAAACAGTGGGCGGGCATAGTTGCAACAACAACGCCGAACGGGAATCCATCTATAGATACACATGTATATATATATATATATGTATGTATATATATATATATATATGCGCATGATAGTAGCGACCGAGACCCGACAGAACGAGTGTGGCAACGTCAACGGCTTGCGCCGGTGTTAGGCCGCTGGGAACACGAGTCGCCGCCAAGTGAGACCGAATGCGGATCACCCAGTTGGGCAGATATTTGTTTGTTGAGGCCACGGCCTCCCGCGCCGTGCACCAAGCGCACGAGCGAGGTTGTCGCCGGAGTGCATACGACTCCGGCCTTCCTCGGCGGAGCGCGCGCGTCTCGTCTCATCTCGCCGTGTCCTCCTCTTCCTTCTCGTCCTCGTCCTCGTCCTCGTTCGCTACCTCATGTTGCGTCCTTCTTCCCCTAGCAATAGATCTGGACGCCCGAAATGGGCACGGAAAGAATGGGTACAATGCCCAACAGCAGTTCCTGTTCATTTTGAACAGGATTCGCTGTCCACGCCGCCGCGGCCTGTGTCCATTCGAGAGAGAAGGCCGCCTGCCCAACAGCGACCGCTGTTGGTTTGGGACAACATTTGTTGTTGGGCATTGTGCCCATTTTTCCGTACCCATTTCGGGCGTCCAAAATAGAGTCCTCCCCATCACACCACCATGCGTGCCGGTGGGGCGGCGCCGCTGTTTCGCGGGAGACTCCCTCGCCATGCGTCCAGCAGCGCCGCTGCGTGCGGAGCTCTCCAGCCGCCGCACCGACGGGGGGCGCCCCGTGCTCGTCGAGGCGGCTCTCGCGGCAGCGCCGCGCACCTCAGCCGCAGAAGCGCTCCCGGCACTTAGCTCGCGTCGCGTCGACAGCCGGAGGCTCCTCCTCCTCATTTCCTAATCATATCCCTCCTCCTCCTCCTCCTCCTCCTCCGCCTGCTCCTCCTCCTCCAACTCCTCCGCCTTCTCCTCCTCCCCCCCCCTCCTCCCCCTCCCTCTCCCATTCCTCCTGCTCCTCCTCCTCCTCCTCCTCCTCCTCCTCCTCCTCCTTATCCTCCTCTTCGTCCTGCGAACTTGAACGCCGCCAGTGGCACGGAGTCGGCCATTATGCAGCCACGCTCGCACCAAGCAGAGGTCTGGAGCTGGACCCCCCCCTCCCCCGTGCCGCCCAATGTCGAGACGCCGAATAAAGAATCGCTCACATGTTCGTGCTATTTTCTGCAGCCACGCGCGGAGGGGGGAGGGGGGAGCGCTTCTTAGAAGCACCCCTGCCTCTGAGAAGGCGCGGGCCTTGTCTATAGATGTAGGGCCGGCGCCTTCTAAGAAGCAGCCTCCGTCTAACAAGCCCTCCCCCCTCCCTCTACCCCTTTGTGCGCGCCGCCAAATTATGGAACGATCTGGCGATCGAACAGCCGCCGATCGTTCAAGGTTGAACGATGCGCGCCGTGTCGGAGACGAACGCCGACGTCATCGCGACGCGAACCTGCCGTACTCAGACGGGGCGGCGGCCCGGCCTGTCAATTGTGCATTCTCGCTTTGGCGCCGCGCTGAGCCGCCGTAGAAGATGCCCAACGGTTGCGCGGTTGGTGGGCGGCCCGTTTTCAAGATGTGTTCTTGCTTCAGAGGTGCGTGCCGTCGGATGGCGCTCCGTCTCAGGGAAGGATTCTCGCTTCAGACCTCCTCAGATGTTATGTCTCGACGGACAGACGGCGTCTCTTGGTCTAACACGAAGTTATCCTTATACACGTCGCTGCATCCTGTGATGTTGGTTGCTACTTTTGTGCGTCGCTTCTGCATCGATGGGCATACACTTGCGCAACAGAGGGCGAACCTTTTTCAAGATAACAGGCCCATGGGTGAACATGCTTGAGGGAATAATTTCCTCAGTGAAGTAGAATGATGGTAGGGACTTGTAAGGAGAGGCATCTGTGACGGGAGGGTACCTTGCAGCACCATTGGTGCATCCAGTGTTGATTGCTGTATTTCCATTTTCTCATATTCGCCCGCCTCCTCCTCCCCCTCGAAAGGACGTAAGTCTGACGACAACGCTTGAGAAGCGCATCAACGGTATCCCCCATCTGGACGACATTGCCGCGGCTCCGGGAGAGGAGGCGACCGCACGCTGACCTCCAGACGGGAGAAGGCAGGATGGAGGAGGAGCAGCAGCAGCAGCAGCAGGCCCAGACCCCTCGTGTCATGAGAAAATCGCGACGCGATGCTTTTCCCTATTTTGGGCCTCTGGGGGCCCTCGATGGGACTGTCGAGAATCGCTTCGGGATGAGAATCCCGGCCCAGGGAACAGGGTGAGACCTCCGGAGGCCGACGCCTTGTGAAGATCATGGCGTCGGGGGCTTGGGGCGCAGAAGCAGCAGCAGGAGGAGAGCGCGGAGGAGGGAGGTTGACGTCACGAGCGCTCGTGTTCGCCCAGCGGCTTGCCAAAGCAACGAGATCGGACATCGGCGTCACCCCAGCATACTTGTACTATACGTGCGTCGCCCCCCCCCCCCGCCCCCCGGGGCGACGCGCGCACCGAGAAATCTCACGGTATTTGCGTCGAGGCGGGCGCTTTCTGGCAACGCCGCTTGGGAAACGATTTGTATACTATACAGTCGAGACGCTGAAATAAGGAGAAGTTTGGGTTCGGAAGGGGCTCGACGTTCCTTCGGTTCCTCCATTGCTGTTCCTCTTGCCCTCCTGGGGCACGGAGGCGCTTACAGGGCCAAGAAGGGGCTTCGTTCCTCATTTTGCGTTCCTTCTTTCAGCGGCCCGACTGTATGTTCGGGTCGGACGCGCGCCTCCAAAGAAAGCAAGTAGTATGTGTATGTCTCTGTGAGTCCCACGGACCCTCGCGTCCGCGCCACGAGGGAAGCACGGACGGCGGCGCGTGCACGGCCGCGACGCCGTGACCGGGCCGGCGGACACCGCTTGTCGGCGCACCGGGCGCCCTACAGCGGCCGGCGAGCGACACGGACGGGCGGCCGCGGAGGACAGGCCACAGCGGCACCAGCACGGCGGCCGTCCGCTGCGACCCGGTTGGGCGGGGAGGCGCGGCCACGGGCAAGTCCAAGGAGGTGGCGGTGAACCGTACGTACTCGGTGGGAACCGACTACGTCGGGGACAGCGAGTGGGCTCCCGGGGGAGCCTGCGAACCGTGCGGTCGGGCGCGCAGAGCCCAGCTGCGTGGTCAGTGGGGAACGAAAGTCTCCTGCGCCCTGTCGTGCGTGCTGTGGCGCTGGAGAGACGCGGCTGGCTGCAGTCGAGGCGCTGGAGCAAGGATCGTTGTGGCGCTCAGGAGGGGTTCGGTTTCTGGGGGCCCTTTCCGCTCGTCTGGACAGAAGATCCCTTGGACTTCTTTCTGCACGTCGACGCGAGCAGGCGCGTTGCTTCCTTTGCGCACCAGGCCTGAATAGTGACTGGCATGCGATTTTCCCTCGCGCCCTACGTGGGCCCGCTCTCGCGCGAGCGGGGTAACTTGACTTCGCTTGACTCCTCCGGTCCAGATCGGGGAGCCTCCTCGTGGCCGAGGCCCGGCATGGCCAGAAGAGCGGCGGCGTTTCTGGCTTTGCGCTCCTTCAAGTTGTGCTGCGACTGCACTCTCGCCTGCCCTGCGGGGCGGGCCCGGGGCCGGCAGGGGGGCGAGGGCGTCTACTTGGGTAGAGACGGGGGTCGTTGCAAGCGGGGGTCAGCCAGAGCGCCGGATCTCGCTGCGCCCTGCAGATCCAGGGCTGCGTTGGCCCAGGCTCGGGCGCAGGGTCCTGCGGCGCGTCGCAGGATCCTGCGGAAGCCCGACTGGCCCAGATTTGGATTGACCTGGGGCAGCGCGCCCCCGAGCCTTGAGTAGGGGGCCGCATGCGAATCCCACCCGCGCCCCCCGACGACTTCTGATGGGGAGTGCGGGGCTCGCTTCCTTCGAGAGTTCCGGATCGAAGTGAATCCCACCCGCCCGTTAGAAATCGTCGGGGGGCAGGGGCGGGGTTCGCATGCGCCCCCGCGCCTTGAGGAACGAGGTGCTCTCCGCGGCGACGAGAGCGGCCGCGGGGCGCCGCGGGGGCGGCCCGAGGCTGAGGGGCAGCCCCCGGGCGATCCCGCGCTCCAGCGGGGGAGTTCGGCGGCGAGGCCATCGAGATTCAAGTCGGGTCCGTCCCTCTGCGGGGGGGATAGTCAAAAATAATAGAACAGATCCTCGGGGGGCTGATTGTTGATAATGTTCGGCAGTTGTTGGAATATGTTTTGGCCATTTCTCATGCAGCTTTGCACGGCCCAATCGAGGGCCCCCCCGGAACGCCACATACACATCAATCCGGTCACATTGGCACGACCATCAAGACACCATCGGAGCTCACTCGGCACACCATCGGGGCACATCGCACATCAATCGCGAGATGGGATTCCATCTTTTTTTACATGAACACCGTCGCACCTGGTTTTTGGCATTATCAGGTACTTCGGACCAATCGCTGCACTAGCGCAGATCGTCCAGAACACTGTCGCACCCCATTCGGGAGATTATCTCGCATGCATCGCGGAATCAACGGTGGCGCAACCGAACATCAATCGGCACCCTAGTAGCACACCATTCGATGCAGTATCACAAATCTATATACAGTCAAGCCCGGGCTACCATCTCAATTCAATCGGGGCACCATCGCCAGTCATTCGAGACACCATCGCAAATCTACCAGGCTGCCACGGCACATCGATCGGACACCACCAAGAGACCATTGCGATGCAGCCAGAAACTAGTCTGGAGTTGGCCAACGAAGCGTGCGACCACCAGCATCAAATCCTCGGGACACCGCCAAGAAACGATCCAGATACCATCTCAAGCAGCGGCGAAGCGTCCAGGCGTGCCTATAGGCCTACCAAACAATGTTATCATAACCGTTTGTGCTTTCCACGAAATGTTATCAGAACACTTCTGACTGGGACTGTCTTGTTTTCACACATCGGGCTTACGTTCTAAGAACATTGTATTTGTTATTGCAACATGTTTGGTTTCCAAGAACATCTCGGGGAAGGCCTATAGGAATGCCGGGACGGTCGGTCCCTGCTCAACCATCGGGACACCGCCCACGTGACATCGGTGTGCCGTGGGGGCGCCGACGGCGCGGAGCCACGGGCCACGCGCCGCCGCAAGCCGACCAGAGCCGCAAAGTATCAATTACGCGCCGCCCTCGCGAATCCGTCAGCGTGCTGCTCCAAGGGGCGCCCTCGGGGGCGCGAAATCATTCGCGTTTCGCGGTTCGGCTCCGGTTCCTCCTCATCCGCTTCTTCTCCACTGGGAGGCGGCGCGAGAGCGCGAAGTTGTTCGCGCCCGCCGGTGGGCCGCCGCGTGAGGCCTCGGTTTGCCGCGTTAGTTGTAGCCGCTTCGTTCCGCCTCAACCTAATTAGTCTCTGCGTAGCCCGCTTTGACCTGACTCGCGGCCAGCGCGCTCGCCCGCGGCCGCTGACTAAAAAGACTAGCGCGAAGCACGAAGCTGGGAGCCCTCTGTGTGTCTTCAGCGATGACACGCCGATGGGTGCCCCACGGCGGCGGGCCACCGGCACCGGTGTTGCCCCCCCCCCCCCCATTCGGGTGTGGCCAGGACCCCACGTAGTGGGGACCCGGTTAGTGGTAGGGCCTTGGGGCCAGTCAGTTGGCCATATTCACTAAACCAGGTTTGCCGTAGCTGGTGTTTTTCGGGCGACGGCAGTTCCGGTTAGTGGAAATGGGGCGGGGGGGTGCCCCCGGTACAGATCATTAAACCAGGTCCCACTAAATGCAGTTCTGCCAACGCCCGACCCACGTCCTGGCGTTCGTCACGCTCGCGCGCAGCCTCGCCCTCACGTTGGGCACGACGTTGCTCACCCAGTTCGCCCACGAGGGCGCGTCGGCTGCCGCGCATCGCATCGCGGAGCGCGAAGTTCGAAACTGTGCGACCCAGGTTCACGCAATGAAGTCGACCAGCGGACTGGGTTCGTAGAAGTTTTCCCTCGCACGCGCATTTTTTTTGGGGGCGTCGTGGCCTTGCGCGCGGCGTCAGGGCGTAGAAGGTTGGAAAGCAATGAGGCGCGCGCGCGCGCCTACGCACAGCCGAGCACTCAAAGACCGCTTAGGGCCTCGCAGCCGCCAGCAGCCATGATCGTCCGGGCATGGAAGGCTTGGAGGGGGCAAACGGGACTGGAAGGCGGGGAGAGTGTGCAAGCAGGGTGGACCGACAAGGAGTGCCGTGTAGCTACGGGGAGAGATGAAGCTTGCACGCACGCGCGCACACACTCTCGCCATTTCCAGTCCGAACTTGGATTCGATTCGGGTCTCAACACGATCTCTTCATTCTGCTCAGCAACATGTGGGACCGCATTGGCCCGCGCTTGCCTTGGATGTGTGTTATTTACCTCCCGCGCTGGTGTCGAAGGTGACCGTGGGCAACGCGACCGTCCCCGCAGAACCTGTCAGCTGTGACGAGTTCGCCTGCGGCCCGTTCATGAAGGAAAGGGGGGATGCGGCCCGCAGATTCGGGGCTCTCGGCCGCTGGCTGCCCTCCACATTCAGCGGCGACCCGGAGATGTTGCGATGCCGAACTTTTCGGGCGTACGTCAACGGGGGGCTATGGCGCGTGTAGGGATTTGTTGGGTTGCAGGATAGCTGTTTATCGGGCCATAATCTGTCCTTAGACTGCCACCGTGGGCCCAAAAGATGTACGAAAGGTGCACGTGTCTTCACTTCACGTGTACTGCCCCCTCGTCAAAGAGCACCCAATTTTGTTGAAGTCAACGCACAAGTCGCCAATGCCGATCATGATGATGAGATGAGACGCGCGGCTTCGGGCCGCAAATGCTGGTGTATCGCCAGGGCCCCCCCCCCCCCAGACCCAACCCACGGCTCCCGCATGGAAAGGAAAGGCATTATATGCTGAGCGGATCAGAAGATCATGAGCTCTTGGTCAGGAAGCGCCGCGGTCCTGGCCCGCTCGAGATCGAGGCTCTAGATCGATGCACGAGAAGGGGGAATTCTCAGGGGATTTCCAGGAGGGCCGAGGAGAAGGAGGAGGAGGCCACAGGACGAGGAGGAAGGAGGAATGGGATCGTGGTGCGATGGGGGTGGATGTGAGCTGGTGCTCGTGGAGGTTTGCAGGTGGGGATGAGTCGGGGAATGGCGGGGTGGGGGGCGGGGGATGGGATGGAGGACGCTCAGCATGCTACCACGGAGCTGTCACGGTCTCGGTGGAAGCACTGCACGGGTGGTTGAAGTGACGGCGCTTGAAGTCTTGGTCATCGGCCGAAGGATCATTCTTCAATTCTCAGATGCAAAAAGGCAACGATCGACACCTCCCCTCCTCCTTGCCCTCCTCTCGATTCAGATGTCGACCAGAGAGTTTCGTCCGATAGGAAGTTGACACTGCGTAAAATGAAAAGACAATCGAGGGAATCATGGGGCGGCATTGCCAAGCTGCCTCAGACATGTCTCAAAACTGATGGGGCGCTGCGCAATTCAGATCTTGTTGCTCGATCACCCTGTTCAGTTTGCACTCTTACTTTGACGCTTCCAATCTGCCTTCAGCCATCCGGCCTTCCTGGAGACCGGCGCGATGCTGGGCCGCTTGGCGCGCCAGCTGTTTTTCTTCGGTTTCCTTCGGGGGCGACGGCATACTCGTCTCGACCAGCAGGTTGTCGTTGTCCTCGTCCCAGTCATCCTTTACCCTCGTCCTCGTCGTCCTCCTCCTCCTCCTCCTCCTGATTCCTGATTCCTGAAAGCGATGGAGTCTTCAGACGCAGCCGCTCCCCCAGGGATCCTCCTCCTCCTCCTCCTCCTCCTCCTCCTCCTCCTCCCCCTCCTCCTCCCCCTCCTCCTCCTCCTCCTCCTCCTCTCCTCCTCCTCCTACTCCTACTCCCCTCCCCCTCCCCCCCCTCTCCTCCTCCCTTCCCCGCCCTCCTCCTCCTCCACCTCCACCTCCTCCTCCTCCTCCTCCTCTTCTTTTTTATTATTCTTATTTTATTAGTAGTATTTTTATAATTGTTGTTATCATTATTATTTTGTATTATATGTCGTCTTATTATTCGTATTCTTCTTAGTATTATTCTTATGTTCATTATTATTATTCTTAGTATTATTAGTAGTATTATTCGTATTACTCTTATTATTATTATTATTATGATTATTATTACTGATATTCGTATCATTATTCTCCTTATTTACTACTCTTATTATTATTAGTAGTATGCTTCGTATTAGTCTTCGTTTTTTTTCTGCTTCTGCTTCTTCCTCTTATTCTTCGTATTCTTCTTACTATTAGTATTATTCTTCCTCGTCCTCCTCCTCCTCCTCCTCATTCTCCTTCTCCTCCTCCCCTCCCTCTCCCCCTCCTCCTCCTCCTCCTCCTCCTCCTCCTCCTCCTCCTCATCCTCCTCTCCCCCTCCTCCTCCTCCTCCTGCCTGCTCCTCCTCCTCCCCCTCCTCCCCCTCCTCCTCCTCCTCCACCTCCTCCTCCTCCTCATCCTCATCCTCTTTTTCTTATTTGTCTTCGTATTCTTCGCACTTCGCCTTACTCTTCTTCTTCTTCTTCTTCTTCTTCTTCTTCTTCTTCTTCTTATTGTTATTAGTATTATTATTATTGTTATTATTAATGTTGTCTTATTGTTCGTCTCCTTCTTAGTATTATTATTCTTCGTATTAGTATTACTCTTCGTATTATTAGAATTTTTATTCTCATTACCAGCATTATTATTATTCGTATTAATATTAGTATTCTTCTTATTTTCATTCGTATTATTATTATTATTCAGATTCGTACTATTCTCCTTCTTTTTCTGCTTATGATTATTATCCGAAGTATTATTCTTATTCTTCTAATTTGTAGTATTATTTGTCTTGTTCGTTTCCTTACTCTTATTCGTCTTCTCCTTATCATTATTATTAGTAGTATTCGTAGTATTCGTATTATTATTATTATTCCTCCTCATCCTCCTCCTCCTCCCTCTCCTCCTTCTCCTCCCTCTCCTCCCTCTTCTCCCTCTCCTCCTCCTCCTCCCTCCCTCCCTCCCTCCCGCCCGCCCGCCCGTCCGCCCTCCCTCCCTCCCTCCTCCCTCCTTCCTCCTCCCTCCTCCTCCTCCTCCCTCGCCTCCTCCTCCTCCTCCTCCCTCCTCCTCCTCCTCCTCCTCCTCCTCCTCCTCCTCCTCCTCCTCCTCCTCGGGTGTGGAAAACCACAACATCGGATCTCTGGGGAGGGGGGTAGGTTACCAGTTTGGAACATCTCCTTATCATTATGGTTGGCATCACATTTACCTCGGTGCCAATCTTCAGGACTCCCTCAGTTTCTGGGTGCACATCTATGAAATTGTGATCGCTTGTGGCTTGCAGATCTTAGGGATGGGAGAAGCTGGAGTCTGGTACGTAAGGGGGAAGGGGGAGGGCTTCTAAGAAGCACCCCTGCTTATCTGAAGGCGCGGGCCTTATCTGCAGATGCAGGGCTGGCGCCTTTTCAGAAACAGCTTCCTCCTAAGAAGCCTTCCCCTTCCCCCTGCCCCCTCGTGCGCGCCTCTAACCGCGGCACGGACGTGGGCCCGGGTCCTGCACCAGCCCCAGACCCTCTCGGGCCACGAACAAATCATGACGGCCAGTTTTCCTGCATTTGTTTCGGCCTCTGGGGGCCCGTGCTGGCCCTCGGGACGGGATGAAAACCGGTCGCGTGGACTTGGTCCAGACCGTTGCAGGTCCACGTCATGAAAAAGTCATGACGCCAGGGATTTGAGACCCTGGCTGCAGGAGAGCGGTAACAGGCGTGACCGTGGGGGGAGGGGGCCTGTCACGTCACGATTCGTGCCGGCGCCGTTCAGGAGAGGGGAGGGTCGGGAAGGGGGGCGGGGTTGGAAACGGCCCGTGTCGAGAAAAATGTAAAAATGGGTCCATGGCTGCGGGCTCCGTCAACGACGCACGGCCAGTGGCACGGACGTGAGCCATCTGCACGAAGCAAGGCAGAAAGCGCAGGGGTGGTCATCGGGCGTTATCACGCGGGGGGGGTATAATTGCGGAGGGGTCTTGGGAGGAAGCAGTACCAATCTTGTGTTGTTTCTTTCGCTGTCGCATTTTTGTGTCTCCTGGGAGGCCCTCGTCGCCGAGGCTGAGTTCGCTTCGAAATCCTGGCCAGGTCGCACCCCCGGAGAGGTCTGGGAAGCAGTGGCTGGCATCGGTATGGTTTGGTGTGTGCCCAGATCCCACGTCGAGGGCTGCAGGATTGGGGCCCTGAAAGGGACCCCCCGGGGGCCCCGAGGGTGCACAAAAGTCAGGAGGGGAAAAAAACACACAGACACAATGAATCGTCGATCCGCCAGAAAATATGAGAAAATATGGGCAGTGGGGAGGAAAACGAAAACCCCGAAAAAATAATAAAATGTGGGGAACCCTTTTATTTGTGTGTATTTATTTGTGTGTCCCAGGGCCCCTTCAAAAAGGTGCACCTCCTCTCACCCAACTGTATCAGCATGAAATCGTGCCTGCCCCCTCTACAGGAGGAGTGTGCAAAAACGGCCCCAAAAATAGTCAGGGGACGATTTTTCTTACTATTCATTGGCATGTTTGATTATTTTGGGGGTATTTGTCATTCTCCATCCCACATCCGCTATAGGGGGACATGCCCGACCTGATATTGACAGCGCACGAGAGAGGCGCGGGCGCCGTCGGCAGCGGCCAGCGACGCGGCGGAGGCGTCGCAGCGGCCAGGCATCGCGGTGGCGACAGCGGAGTCGGGTGTGCAGCACACGGACAGCGGCGCGGACGTGGGCCCTCCCACCGTCCCAGCTGTATGCAGCGGGGGTGGGGAGGCAGAGGCGTTGTCGGCAGCGGCCGGCGGCGCGGCGTTCCCCTTCCCTCTCGAACGTTGCGTAAGGATGGAGCCGGCGGTAGTCGGGGGTGGGTGCAGAAAGGCGCATCTCAGGGGCCCCAGATGAGTCCCCTCGGGGCCCACCAGGGGCACGAACGATACACGTTTCGTCGCCCCCTCCCATGGAAACTGTAACGTGTGACACCTCGGCGGCTCGTTGCGAGATCCGATTGCTGTAGCACCGTGCTCGACGAGGGCTCTGTAGAGCGTGATGGCGATGGTGAGGATGACGAAGAGGATGAGGATGACGAAGAGGAGGGGAGAACAGGAGGGAAGATGAATCGGACAGACGAGAGTCGTGTGAGGAGAATATGTACGGGCAGTTGCTGCGATCGCCTCCTCCCCCCCCCAATTTGGCGACGCCCGGCCCTCCCCTGCCGGGCGGAAGGGAGGGGCGAGCAGATGGGGGCGGCAGAAAAAGGCACCTCCAGGACCCCCAAGGGGCCCCCCTGGGGCTCACAAAGGTGCACGGAAGGCGCGCGCCTCTTCGCCCCCCCCCCATGCATCTCGGGCCGGGCGAAAGGGGGGGATTGGGAAAGGGGGGGTTACGAAATTTGCTGCATGCAGCTGGTTTCGGCCTCACCGAGGGGCCCATTCCTCGATACATAGCCGCCTCCGGCGCCGGGAGGCGCCGGGAAAATCAGCTACGTGAGCTGATTCTCAAACCCCCCCTTTGCTATCCCCCCCTTTCGCCCGACCCGAGCATCACCGCCCCTTGGCCGGGCGACGCGCGGCGCCAGGAGCTCCCGGGCCTGACCTGCGCCGGGGGGGAGTGCCGCACGGTCTGCTGCGGCCCGCGGGCCTGCCAGGAGGCCCCGTTCTGGGCGCATGCCGGGGGCTGCCACGGTGGGCGGGTCGCGCTGCCAAGGGGAGCCCCCGAGGGCGCGAAGTTGTTCGCGCTTCGCGGTTCGGCTCCGGTTCCTCCTCGTGCGCCTTTTCTCCCCCAGAGTGCGGCGCGAGAGCGCGGAATGATCCGCGCGTCGCGCAGCGCGCAGGGCGAAGTCGGGAGCCCTTGGTTAAGGGGCGGAGATGCGAGGTTCAGTGGGGGGGGAATCGAGTTCAAGGGACGAAAAACCACCCGGGCCAGACAAGTGGCGTTTACTAAACAGCCCTGGGCGTTTATCAAACAGCCCTGCCCTGTTCGATTCCTTCTCTGGTTGTGTTTACTACACGGGCGTGTCGGGGTGGTTATTATCGGGGTGCATTTTCTGCTCTCTAGATGCGAGGTTCAGCGGGGGGGATTCTAGTGGCATTCACACAAAATTTGGGAGGTCCGCGCGGATTTCTTGGGTCGGCGTTGGAGCCTGGGCTGCGCCTCCAGCGCCGCGCCTGCCGCGCTCCGCGCGCCAGGGGGAGCGGTGCAGCGCCGCTCTGACCT